GTCTCAAAACTGATATTAATGTTCTCAAAGAACTTGCAACTCAGTTATAAAAAATATCATCATCCTCTAATTCAAATAATATTAATACTATTGATGATATTGAATCTCAATTTATTGATGATGAAGTTTCTCAAATCAATAAACTTCAAGGTAGAAAAGTTCAATATTCAAAAGTTCCTCCTTATTATCTAAAAAATACTCCTCCAAATTTACTTTTTGAACAAAAGACCAAAATTCCTACAACATTCTTTGGTACGAGTATAACTATCTAGAATATAGATGGTTTAACCGAATATCAAATTTTTGAAATTCTTGAAATAACGGGTGCTTGTTATAACGCCTATATTCAAAAAGGAATTTCTCCAGTTGAGTCAACAGGTAATATTGTTCAAGGTTTAGCTGGTCAATTAAATTTCTGACCAAGAGAAAAATCAAATTGCTCAAGCTCTTAAACCTGATGGGTCAAATGATAGTTTCAATACATTAATTTATTGTATTGTCAAACATTTTATTGGATCTCCAACAGATGTTTTAGAAAAAGTTTCAAGTATCTTGTTAACATTAAATTGTTCAAGTTTACAAGATTTTTGTTGGTATAAAGACACGTTTTTAACACGTGTATTTTTGGGAAAAAATTGTAATCAAGCTTATTGGAAAGAAAGATTTTACCTGGATTTCCAAAACTATTTTCTGAAAGAGTCAAAAATTCTATCAAAAAAGAATATTCAAATAGTATTCCATATGATGATCTTTCTTATGGAGAATTGACATGTTTCATTAACAGAGAAGGATTAGTTCTCTGTAATGAACTCAAACTTAAATCCTAATTGCAAACAGAAAGATTGGATAGTCGCAAAGAACTTGGATCATTCTGTGAATAATATGGATTTGCGAAAGTTATTCCTCCTTCAAAAACAAAATCAAAAAATTTTCAAAAAGAAAAGTTTATTCTAAAGAAAAGTATTTTCAAAAACCTTATTCAAAAAATTATTTCAAAAAGAAATTTCAAAAGGAAAGATTTTCAAGAAAAAGTAATGTTACTTGTTGAAAATATAAAAAATCTGGACATTATTCTAATAAATGTTCTCTCAAATGCAAGATTAATAATCTTCAAATAGATGAAGATATTATGCTTCAATTTCTCAATATTATTGATTCAAATTTCAGTTCTGATAATGAGTTTAACTCAGAGTTAGAACATGTTTATCAACATCAAGAAGATTCAGATGCTGAATCTAGTTCAAATTCTCAATCTTCTTCAAGTCAAAGTAAAGAACTTTGTGGTTGCAAAACTATAAATTTTGTTACTAAAAGAGAAGAACTTGTTAAAGAGATTGTTGATCAAATTGATGATCGACAACTCAAAAATAAGTTTAATTCTCTTCTTCCTTCAAATTCAAAACTTGAACCTTTCAATATGAAAAATGTTTTAAATCGTTTTGAAA